TTCCCGTGCTTCTCTCTCTCCGAAACCCAAGGGGTGAAACTTAACAATAACAAGATGCCTCGATTAATTTGTCACCTCCTTTCTCTTTTTCAATCTCTTCACTGTAATGAGAAGGGAGAGACAAGACATCTTCTCGTCAGCCCTCTTCACGAACTTGTACAATCGATGCCACAAAGATAGCCAACTCTATTATTAAAGAAATAAGGAAACGGGCGACGACTCGGGTTTCAACTTCTGATCCACAAAGAACAGATGAAGCGTCAACAAGCTTACCCCAGTTTCTGAGCTTCTCACGAGTAGTAATCTTTACCGGTTGACTGTAACAGCCCAGAAGGGACGAAAAGGAAAGGGGGAAAGCCGGAGTGAAGTGGCCAAAAGAGTCTTGTATGAAATGATGCCGTTATAGTACCGAAAAAAGTGTATTTTTACCTGCTTGTGAGGACCCCGAAGCATAGTGATTCGGGTCTGGGCTTTCCCCTTCGCCCGAAAGAGAACGGGCGGATGAAACGATGACCTTAACTAAACTAAAGTTCCGAATCTTGCTTTAAGCGCTGAGGAATTTTTTAACTGCGCTTCCTCCGAAGTGCTCGACGTCACAGTGTGTGATCAGCTTGTGCTGTGTAGTTGTCTTGTTAAACACAATCCTAGCATGTCCGGGGATTCCCTTTAATAGAAAGCTCTGCTTGAAGGAAGGTGTCAAGTCAAGTCTACTGCCCCTCTTTGAACTAGGTGCCCTAGAAGGATATGATTCTAACTGTCGATTAGCAGGGCTGCAGGCACGAATTCGTATTAGGAATGCATGGCGTCATCGTGCTATGGGCTTTGGCTTATGTAGATCAAAAATGATGAATGGGATTGTGGCACTCCACTCGCCGCCAATGCGTTGGAGATTTGGTTGATCCTTCTTCTCTTGCAGTGGTGCCCGCTATAACGAATGTAGGCCCATTTTTACTTCTTATACATGCCCCCATGTCCACTCTTTGTGGTTGGTGTCGAGTACTTACTATTCATTGACATGGACTTGCCCCCCAATCCACCCTTATCCATAATCTCAAGCTTACAAAATCCATGTGGGGGTTTGACTTTTTGTGTCTTCTTGGAGATGCTCTCTACTCCATTCTTCATGGTGGGTGAAATGCTCCCTTGTCCAGACTTAGTCAAATTAGCATGCTTATGACAAACATGTGTGACTTGCACTTCATATGGCTTCTTGGACATGTCTCTCATTTGTCAAGAGAGAACAATTTCCTGCCGATTCGGAGAGTCATTCGATGTCTGGTAGAGCAGCATGAACATGAATTATCTTCTATTAGTCTTCTTTATTTATTCTTAAGAGAAGGCTCCCCCCGAACCATTCTTAAGACCACCAAGCTCTCTTGAATGAGTTCTATTTTTTCTGCTTTCGACGACCAAAACCAACCAGACAACCGAGCCTCTGCCAGATTCAAACACCAGCAGTACATCACAATCAGCTACCAAAACTACCCCACAGCCTACACCCAAAGATACAACCCCCCAGTCCACTACCCAGACCCCCCTTTCCAACCAAACACCACCAATTCCTGTAAGTGTACCACCTGATATTGCCCAACACCCACCTGGAACAGACTCAGTACTTTTGCAACCAGTGGATCGATCCGCAGTAGTTGTTCCCCATCCAGTAGTACCACCAGTATCAATAGGAGCATCCACCTGTCCAAACCTGTCGCAGGAATAGTCTTGAAAGAAGCTAGGTCAAGTTAGGGATCTTGGGGCTATACAGCGAGTAAGAAAGTTGTTTGAAAGCATGTGATGTGATCAAGCCAATTTCCTTACCTTGCTTTAGGGACCTTTAACCAAACAAAGCCTTTGGTTCGCTTAGTTCCTAGCTACACCTGCTTCAGCTATGATTTAAAGAGTGCTTATGGCTCTTGGCCGATTTTCGCGTTCACTCGGCGTTTCTTTCGGAGGTGCTTGACCCGCAGTGAGGCAGAGATGACTAAGTGACATATGGAATATGGCGACGACAACAGCATGTCGATAGGCAACTCTCAATGGTAACTCTGTCTCTAGAAGCCAACCAATTGGAATGCTTTACTTTGACTCTATAAGTGCGCTTTACTAATAGAAAATTAAGTAAAGGCTCCGCCCGCTCCTCTCGCTTTGCTCGGCTCATCCATTGCTGATGATTTTCTGAAAGTAGGTTCAAATGACTTAATGGCAATTGGTTTGGTAAATGCCGTAGTCGATGTCGCTTCGTTCCTCTCACTTTGTTCGAGCTCTAACCTCTCCCTATCGGTCGAGCCAATGAATTCATTATCATACTTTCATTATCATGGCTTAATTGGTTTTCCTTTGGACTCTGCTCTCACTAACGTCGTAGAAAGCCATTCTTCAAGCGACCAAGCAATGCTTCTTCAAGCTCCTAAAACCGGTTAATCAAAATGCAAGTGGCTTTGGTCGGCATTCCTACGTGCTCCTCGCCCCCTACTTAAGAATCCAAAAAGAACCTTTGGATGTTGTCGTGAGTATGTCGGCGAGTGGAGTCCACGGAGCATGTTGGCGAGTGAGTCAGATAGATGCAAGTGAGTCAGTATTTTTACACATCCACGTTCTAAATCTTCTTTTCATCAGTTCGGGGATATCAAAAGAAAAGAAGAAAAAAAAAGATTTGTCTATTCCTCCCCCCCCCCCCCCTATTCTTCCTTCCCCCCTCACTCCCCCTTTTCAATAAAGAAGCCCCGCTCCCTAAGGGGCCCCTCTCTGATAAGGAAGGAAACGAAATAATCTCAATTTTACGATAGGAAACAGGACAGGGAAAGTGGGATAGTGAACCCAAAAGAGAGGGAATGCCTTCGAAGCTGCAAGGAAGTTCATCACTGGTTAGCTCTATCTTTGTTTTGATTCCGGCTTTATCTGAAGCCCTATTGGTCGAGCGTATTCTTTCCTGCGACCTTTTTTCGAGTATTACCAGGATGATCAACAGGTTCAAATCTGTCCTAAACGGGATCAATCAAAAAGGCCAGCTTCCTCCTTCAATCCGCCACTACATTCCCCTCTCTAAACACATGAATCACTTCCACTTGCCAATCTCTACCAAGCATGCTTCGAGCTTGATCTGTCAATAGGAAAACAACAAGGAGCACTCAACTACTAGTCTAGTCTAGTAGTTGTTTTTTTTCTATTAGTTGCGATGCGAACAGGCGTTTACTTATGAGATTTGTTGAGTAGGCTTGTCTTAGTTGTCTGCTATAAGATAGCTAGTTTTGGGGCGCTTTCGACATAAAAAAGCCTATCCGGCTTGGCTTCGCTATCCCCCCAAGTAGTCGTATGGGGTGGGGTCCTTGTGGTAAGCTGCCTCTGCCTTGGATATGAGGAATTCCTAAAAAAAGGCAAAGTTGGGTATTTGACGAAGATCTTCCTATCAATAGATAGGAATTGATGTTCGATATAGGGTTGGAACAGCGAAACATAATTAAAAAAAAATTGATTCCTTTTTTCAATTGAATAAGTACGAGTAACGAATCTATGGATAAATAGAAAAGCACATTTCGAATCGTAACTAAATCTTCAGTTTTCTTCTTTCAATCCCACCGTATCTGCTGAGCCTATCGGAGTTGCCTATGTGAGGCATATAAATTTCCTTCCGATCTCTGGACTCTTTCTTTCGTAAAGCTTGGCTGCTCTATTTGAAGCTGTGTGTAAGTGTTGGTGGCGGGAAGCAACTGTAATGACCCTAAAGAGCGAGTGGCTATCGGCTTTTCTTCGTGGAAAGTATGGAACTCTATCCTGAGGATGACAAGGAAAGTCGCCCGCCAATAGGCCTCCCCGCGTAAGGCTTCAGCCACTTAATCTGTATCTGGTACCACTTCCTTCGCTGCGGCTTTTCTTCCTTAGATCACACCTTCTTCTTTCTCTGTATCCTGGCAGGCTGAATCCAACTCTCTCTTCCTCTTCAACCGGAAGGTGAGCTCAAATGCATAAAAGAATTAGTAATGAAAGGAGAAGATGAAGATCGGATATCAAGATCAAAAGGAAGGGACATCATATGTTGATTGTCCTCCCACCATTATTGGCATAACCCTCTATCGAAATTCTTCTATTTGTCTTCTGTGTACCGACCCCTTGGTCATGTGAGGGCTCGGCTTCCTTCCAAGAGCTAGTGCGCTTAGAAAGGGTTTCTTCCTCTCGCGCCCCTTTACTAATAAGGGAAAGAAAGCGCCCGGCCCGCGTTAGAGGGGAAGATTAGCAAAACGAGAAAAGACAGAGGGAGGGGGAGCAGCATCTTATTCTTTTCGCGGGGAACAACAGCTGGAAACGGTTGCTAATACCCCGTAGGCTGAGGAGCAAAAGGAGGAATCCGCCCGGTGAATCCCGAGAGGAGATGCTTCATACAGGTGTCCCAGGGCTTCACATCGAACGAGTTAAATAACACTTCAAAAAAAGTGACTAATGCTATAAGTAGGGTTTTTAGAATTCGACATCAGGAACAGTTTTCACACCATCGACCAACATCGACTCGTCTCAATCTTTAAGGAAGATCAAAACCGTACGTGGAGCTTCCGCCTCATACGGCTCCTCTAGGGATGGAGGTAGGTCCAGCCCCGTCTTGTGTGGTTAAGGTTGTTGTACACGATCTCAGCAATCCTTTGGTTCTTCGTCCCTCTGGCTTGTCTTGATGGCACGGAACTAGTCCCTCCGCGGACCGCCATCCTTTGAATCTTTTCCCTTCCCTCCATCCACTCAGTGACAGAGAAAAGAGACATGGACAATGTATCCTGAACAGTATGGCAATCTCTTCCTCTTTCGATTGGCAAAGAAGCAATAATAGTTTTGCGATAAAAGAAGCAACTCCTTGAGCGGCTCTATCAAGGAGCAGAGGCAAGGGATCTTCTCCAGTGGTCATTAGTAATGCACTTTGTGGTCCTTATTGGGGTTGGCAAAGCATGAGAGGAGATTCTTAACGTCAGGAATATCGGCCTTAGCATCTTTCTTATAAAAAATTATATTATCTTTCTCTACTTGAGAAGGTTCTTACCATGCATACTACTCATCGATTATTTTGCCCTTTGGGATCGAAACAACCTATTAAGGGTTGTCGCCTACATAACCTACCTCCCAGACTAAGGGAAGAAGGTCTCAGATCACTGTAGTTCGAGCCCTTTTGTTAAAGCAGTTCCTGTACTTTGAATGAATTCAAGCTAGTAAAGTAGTCTGCTTGAAGGGGGCCCTCCTCACCTCTCCCCTTCCCCCTATCATTGAAGCAAGCCAAAAACTAACCATGATACAAGGGCCTGCCTCTCAGTACGTGAAAACGGAACTTCACTTCTACCTGGCTAAGGGAAGGAAGAAAGGAGGCACGTATCGAAGGAGAAGAGGAAGGGTCCCACAAGCGATACTTCCTGATACTGTATTTGAAGCAGTTGTTCGAATTCCTTATGATATGCAAGTGAAACAAGTTCTTGCTAATGGTAAAAAGGGAGCTTTGAATGTAGGGGCTGTTCCCGGAAAGGCATACCTCAAGGAGCACCAATCTCCCCCGGCAAACATCTATCTGGCCTTTGGAATGAAGATGGATGAGCAGGCACTTGAGCCTGGAACTGATGAAATTCGGGGAAAACATGTAACCGGTCACTATACTGGGGAGGCGAGACATGACCGCGACTTAAGATTAAAGTACCGTTGAAAAGTCTAAAGGAACGGGGGGAATGACTACCTGTAATCTTGTTCTAATTAAAATGCGAGCAACTTCGCACCTTCTCCCTACGGTCGAACATATTCTAAACCTTCGGGCAGAGGTAGTACTTCGAATGGCGAAGAGAGGCGGGGCTCGGCAGGGAAAGACTGGGAAATCGTCAAGGATGCCTTCTTAGTTTTGTTGGCGAAACGAAGGGCGCCGCAGGCGCTTCGTTCCTCTCCCTATCGGTCGAGTGACTTCGTTCCTCTCCCTGGATGACAAGTTAAAGAAATTGGGAGGACATATGCAATGAGTTCAACAATAAGGATAGTTACAACATCGAGGTAGATGTAACCAAGCGTGACTTAGAAAGCACAACCCGAAATGGATAATAAAACTGCTAAGGAAGTTTACCTACCTCAGAATTTGATTTTCTTTATAATCGAATGTATCACTACCACAAGGATGGAGCACTCGAAGTTAAAGAAGCGGAACGACTTGGCAGACTCCTTCATGAAAGAATACAAGTCTAACCAGGACATGGTGCCCACCAGGTCTCAACTTGAGAGTATGGAGATGAAGAGAAACGAGACCTTAACGGGGGTATGCCCAAAGGTTCATCGATAGCATATCGATGAGAGAGCCCGGCTTTGGGGATCCTAATTTCCGGGGTGGTATCTGTAATGGGTTAAGCTGTAATAAGCACGTACCTTTAATGGTTGGAAAGGGCCAGGAGATTCCAGTTCCTAGTTGATTCCCTCTTCCACCTTTTCTATCTATCATTAAAAGTCGGGATTTCTCCAGGATTCGGCCGATCCATACAGCTCGCCAATAAGTCCAATCCAGGGCAACCGCTCATTCACCGTGGTGGTACAAAACAAGTATTCTCGTACATCAATTTCCTTAATTATATGTATAATAGTATAGTATACATACAATATTATCAATTTAACTTTCCCAAAATCAAACCACCCTTTACAACGGTGACGCTTGGTGCTCTTCAGTCTCCTCACCGCCAGCACAGGCGATTTCTGGGTTCTGACTTCTGGCCTTGACCAATGCTAGCTTTGGAAATAACATTTCCACAGCGCCAAATTTGCGTATTGTTGTGCACAAAGGGTTCCGCCAAAAACCACCGAGAAAATGAGCGAGACGAGGCCGGTGCCGAGGAGGGAGAGCCCATGGGGGATGTCGGAGGGAGATCACAAGCAGCCAAAGGCACATCGATGCAACGATCGAGCCGAGGACGTTATTCAAGTAATCGAATATTCCAGCCTTTCCCCTCATTTTCGTCTTCTTCTTGTGGTGAACTCGTCGGGTTCAGAGGTTCTTCGATTCTTTAGCTTCGCGTAAACATTTCAACGTTGGAAGTAGGGAATTCAGAATTTCAGAGTTTTGTGTACTAAATAAGCTTCGTTGCTTTCGCTTGAATTATCACTGCCCTTCCTCATTTGATGAAGTTACATGTTCTTCAGCTTATTTAGGGGGTTTATGGAGACTTCGGTGTTTAGGGTTTTGGGATTGGCAGGAAGCCTAAGGAATTTCACGTAGCAGTGAACAATTTTGGGTTTGTGCGAGTTAAAATTGGCTTCCTTTTGCCTTTGAATTTGGATGGATAGTCACAAGCTTGTGCAGGTCCACAATTGATTGAATGAAGATGTCAGAATTTGTTGAAAATAGGTCACTGATGAATGTTATTGATTGACTCCCTGGACGATACACATGTGCTGATCTTGGAAGTTCCCACAAGCTCCATCCAAGTCAACAATGTAGGTCACTGTTGTGCTGAATTCTGCTGTTTGCCGACAATTAGAAGTGTTCAGATTTGACCCATGGCATTAGGCTCAGCCTATTGATTTTGTTTTGATTCTGAGATGGAATGAATTTGATATTACGTATGTCAATGTCCTTGAAGATGGAAATTGCCAATTGGATAGTTAGAAATCTGATCTTCCCCTGAGGAAACTAAGGAAAGTCTTGTTTCTTAGGCGTTAAAATGTTGTAAATCAAGATCTTCAGCTGGTTTCTTACATTCTTCGTCAAGTGCTTAAGGTCTAGAATTCTGTTGTACTTGACATTTTAGCTATTTTCGGGAATTGGGAAGGCAGGTTTGGTTCGCTTGTTTGTTTTACTCGTTGCTTTTGTTAATAACGGGTGAACTGCAATTTTAACCTTCCAGAAATTTATGTGGGTTTGTATTGTAATCTGACTATGTAGGCATGTTTTGAGGGGAATCCATTCAAGACAGTGCCAGGACCTTTTAAGCTCTTCTGGGAATGCATGCGCTCCAAACCCGGGTATGTTGTTGATCAGATGCATTCAATCATTGTTAACTTGTTTCATGTGCTTCGTTCGCAATGTTTGTTAAGCGCTATTTTCAGCTGAGTGATTTTGTTTGGTTGTGCAGAGAGGAACCCACAGAGCCGTACACTTACCTGCAGATTGATGCTCCAAAAATAGAGGTGAAGCTGGAGTAAAGAAGACGCGTGCTGGCGCCACTTTCCAGTTGTAATTCATTTCCATTTTTGCAGACAGAGATGTGAATTGTCAAGATTCATTTCCTTTGTTTTCAGTAGCCTTTGTTTTCAGTAGTCTTTGTATCAAGCAGTTGGTAACCTTTCCCTTTCGTCTTTGGATAATAATGATATAAAGATTAGCGGCTGTTACAACCAATGCAGTCAAAAGGGCGATTCTACCTAGAAGCGGAAAAGGGATAAAATCGTAAAGCATAGAATCAAAGCGTAAAAGCGTAAGTTTTTTACGCATACTGAAAAATAACTAAAAATCTATTAAGTAGGACATATGCTATGCAAAATATGAATGCATAGATAAGTTAATAAATACATGCGATTCATGCCTAATGTAAAACAACTTATAGCATCTTAATAATAAGTTCGTAAACATAAATTTTAACAATAAGCCACTTTTCCCTCTATGCTAATGAATTTGGGAAAAGCCTAGCTGGTGAATTATATTACTCTATTGAAGTTGAGAATGCATCCAAGTACCTGATATGTATCTTCTAATCTCAAATGTATCATATTGTTGGTGATTTACTTTTAAAATATACTTTTTATAATTGATTTCATGAAAAGAATACTCATTTAGTGAACTAAAAGCGTAAAAACGTAAAGCGTTTTGGTGAACTAGAAGCGTAAAACCGTTAGTTTTTAAGCTTTAAAGCGGAATTTAGTCCGATTTTATACACTTAAGTTTTTATATGGAAACGAAAGCGTTTTGATGACCTAAAAGGGTAAAATCGTAAGTTTTTAAATTTTAAAGCGCGATTTGGACTGCATTGGTTACAACCACATGGATTGTGCTTTAAGAATAAGAAATCTCTCTCTTCCATTTAGACTGTTGAGTGTTGAGTTTCTGCAATTTTTCGAATCAAGTCTGAAACATACACCAAACACCCCCTCTCTCATTATTACTGGCATTATTTTCCCCAAGATCCTGGATCCTGTACATGTGTGAACTGAACCGACCGAGTACTATGAAACTATAAATCACTCAGAAGGGACAAAATTGTAAGAAACAAAGATTAAGGAACTAGTGATTTGATGAAGAAATGGGGAAAAGGAAAAGAACAGTGAGTTTTCTCTACACTTCGGGAGGGTAACAAATCACAACCTGCATCGCACGCCAGGCCACTGCCACCACCACCACAGTTCCAAGAAGAAACAACTCCAGGAATCACCGAAGCAGAACAACTTCCGGTGACCGGTTGACACTCATCACTGTCCATCGAGGAGGCGGCAATATGAAAAGGGTTGGTTGTCGAGAGAGTTCCTGCTACAAAACTTCAGAAGTCAATGATAGGCTCTCCAATATTAAGGTTTCGCTCCACAGACCATGGCAGATCAAAGAGCTTGGCTGTTATAAACTTGAAGATCTTGTTCACATTGATGTTGTACGTTGCACTGGAGAAGAACAGCGTCGCGTTCAGCGCCTTGGCATATGCTCTCGCCTGTCGTTGAATTAATCAATCAGTAACCGAGGCAATTCTCAGAATGCGGATCATCTATGGAGATAGATGTGCTGTAGTTTCTGTTCAAGCTTCTTTTACCTGGCTGGCAATTGTCCACTGTAGATCAATGGGGAGCTGGATGAAATCGTCGAACTTTGTTCCAATCAAAATTGGTATAGCCGTCTGATTCCACTTCCGTGCCTCTTGATACCATCTCATCACTCTGCAAATTTACAAGAAGAACAATGAAATCAAAAGAACTATGATCATCATCGCCAAATGACTGACTAGAAGACAATATAGCCCGACCCGTTTAGAGTGACCCGACTGGTGAGGTCGAACATGATGAGAATTGCCACAGAATCTTTACAAGCCGCCGGAATCAGGTCCCTCGACTTATCTCCACCTGTCCTCCGTAAGCATATCATCCAAAATTCCGCCATAACTGAATATTTTCGCCGGTAACAAAATTCGAAGAAATGGGATTTTGAAAGAACAGAACTTCTCTGAAATTACATTTGAGAATGAGAAAGAACTCTTACTATCAACTTCCCAGAGAGTGTAGGAAATCCGAGCGCCACCAACTTGCAATATTTTGCCCATCAAATTAAGCCCATCTCCTCCTCCGATTCTTCCACCTTCATCCGTCTCATCGCCGACGTACTTCGCCTTCAAATCACGAGACCCAAATCAGGGACAAAGAAACAGACCCATTATAATCTGCTAGCTGATGAACAATGGAATTCACAAAATAAAAAATCACGAGAAGAAGAAAATTGGGTACCAAAAAGCTTGTTTTCCCAATATTGCTGTCACCCAAGAGGCTAATCTTCAAAGCAACCAAATCCGAATCGACACGGTGGACGCCGTTGCTGCTGTTGTGAAGAATCGCCGCCGCGGAGGGCAGGGGACGATTGACGAGGGCTACCTCCTCCATTACGCCGCCGCCGGCGGCAGAGGAAAGAGGCAATGAAGCGGAGGGAACAACGGCGGGAAGAGACATCATTCGGTACCTAATCGGTTTCCCGATGGAGCACATGAGGATTTGGTTCCATAGCCGGAGAATGCAGCGGCGGAGGATGGACAGCCGGCGGCGGATTTTACGGCTGATTTTGGACTTGGATCGACCCATTACCGGATGCTGGGGATTTTCCTAACGATGTCTCAGAAAGGGATTGGGCGAAGGGGAAGCGAGAGTTGCCGAAGATTCTTCTGATCATGGAAAATCAGAAAAGGATAAACGATGGCCTAAAGGAGGGAGGAGAGAGGCCATGGGAGAGGGAGAGAGGCGTCAAGTGAAGATCATATTCTGACGATTTGGAGTTCGTGTGGAGGGTATTTTCGAGAATCGCGTCAGAAAATCTTTTCATTTATTGTTCTTTTAAGTTTTCAGGAAAGTTATTATTTTATTGCTTGTTGTGTGTATTTGTTTTTATTTTACTTATTTTATTCTTTTTTCTCTTATATTCTTTTGTGTGTACAACGCAACGCGTATATACTTTTTTCTGCCGTTGCTAGTCTTTGGGTTTTCCAACTTTTCCGTTGCAACAAGCGACTTTTTTTACTATTTAAGTTAATACTTAATTGATTTAAAAGGAGGATTATCATCGAATTTAATGGATAAACGAGTTCCACACTTCCTCCAAACTGCCGGCTACACTTTCTAATTTTTTGTAAATAACACTTTTTAAATTTTTTTCTTTTTGTTCCGATGGTGATTATTAATCATGTCATATGTGATAAGCTTATATGAACAAATTTCAATTTGGTGTTTGGTATATAGATTAAGAATTAACTTTTAATTTCATTGGCATATGTTTACAGCTAAACAGTACGGTAATTTTTAAGTATTGAGGATTTAAAACCTTACGATGTTGATGTATATATATCTAATCTATCGATAGTTGTTTCGGTGTATAACTATATATAATCAAATACTTAACATTATGAATGACTACTAATTTTTCCATAATAAATTTTACACATGAAATCATTTTCAATCGTTGTATAAAATCCATGTCATCCATCACGGGGAGTGAGGGGTTTTGACATCAATGCTTTTTGTATTTCAACCCATATTCATAAAAAAGGCAACCAACCCTTTATTTTAGAGTGATCACACAATATATATATATATATATATATAAAATTTTTTTTATAGAGTGATTACACAATTTAGGATGATAATAGAGTACATAGTCCTTATTAAAATTATTTTCCTAATTTCTATTATTTATCATTTTCCAATTAACCAAAAAAAATTCTAAAAATATAAAATAATTTTTTTTTCGTTGAATCAGTTGCTTTTATTCCAAGAAGAACCAATACAACGAGTCGAGATAAAAATCCCGCGAAGAACAACCGGTCCAACTTCTAACAGTGACTATGTATACTTTTATACTACCAAAAAAACAGAAATGCCCTGTCTATAGGTACCCTAATCCTACTAATGCATCTCGAACTCCTCTATTTCCATAGGAAATGAACTACATGCTGCTCGAATCAAGTCTGCTACCTGTTCAGGAGGACGACATTGAGCCCCATGAATCACTCCACAACGTTCCTTCCATATAAATGTCAATAGCAAGCACCAAAGGAGGCCATGCCATTCTCTTGTTCTAGCATTCCCAACCTGAATCAGTGAACTGCCCATTGCCTCCCAGTCTGGCTGCAGTAGAAGATTGCACTTCAGCTCCTCAGCAAGGCGACGTGAATATGAACAGTGCATAAAGAGATGCTCTCTGTTTTCAATTGATAGCCCGCAGAGTGGGCAGGAAGCATCTATGATTTTCCCCCACTTCTGCAGCTTATCTCTTGTAACAATGGCATTCTTCATAATTAGCCAAACAATCAGGCTGAAGCGTGGAGGGCAATTCCTGCCCCAGACTAGTTTATACCACGAGACCTTAGGGGCCTTGTTTCTCAAGGTTTCCCAAACCCTACTGACAGAGTAGACCATCATCTCCTCCGAATCCCAATTAATCTTACCATTTTGCTTCTTCATCCAGGGTGAGATCACAGCTCTCAATTTTAGGAGTTTCCTCCAGGCCCAGGAACTACTATATTGCACCCGAATAGACAAAAGATCATGTTGCCTGCATTTATACTCGTTCATCCACGCCACCCAAAGTGTTCCAGAGTTCATGAGAAACAACCAAAGCAACCAAATGGAGCATGCCTGATTCCAAGCCCCCAAGTCTTTTACTCCCAGGCCTCCTTCGTGCTTAGGAAGCGAAACATACCCTCAGGCAACTTTTGCCTTACCTTCATCAATCCCATGCCATAAGAATTGTGAACAAATTTTTTGAATCCTCTTTAAAGCTTGTTTTGGTAAGACAAACAACTGCATCCAATATTGAACTATGCCAAGAATCACAGAATTCAGTAGCTGAAGTCTCCCTGCATAAGTGAGTTTTCTAGCCCGCCATGATCTGATTCGTTTTGTAATTTTTCCTACCAAGATATCAATTTCAGAGGATGAGAGTTTACCTGCTAGAAGCGGCAACCCCAGATACCTCACCGGCAATTTTCCTTCTTGAAACCCCTAAAGCTCCAGAGCATTACTTTTATATAGCACTGATTCACCCCCAAAATAGACTTCACATTTTGCTGGGTTGCATTTAACACCCGAGATCCTGTAAAAGTGGTGCAGAACAGTTTTAACCTGTAAAATTGCCTGTGCAGAACCCTTAGTGAAGATAAGAAGATCGTCGGCGAAGCATAAATGATTCAGGCCAACCTTCTTACATTGAGGGTGGAAGGGTACCTCCCCTGATAGGCTAGCTTCTCTCAACAGTGTGGATAAACCCTCCATGGCAATTGTAAAGAGGTAAGGTGACAATGGGTCACCCTGCCTAACTCCCTTCTTTGCACGAAAAAAACCCACAGAGGCTGCCATTAATGTTGAAGCTATAGTGTGCAGTTTGCAGGCAGCTTCTGATCCACAATAGAAACTTCTCAGGGAATCCCATAGTTTTCATCATGCTGAATAAGTACCTCCAGTTGACTGAGTCGAATGCCTTCATTATATCAATTTTGATCGCACAACGAGAAGATAGATGCTTCCTACTATACCCACTGACTAACTCCTGTGCTAAAAGAATGTTATCCATGATACTTCTTCCTTGTATGAATGCAGATTGGGGGCTGCTTATAATCAGAGGCATTATCCCTCTAATTCTGTTTGCTAGAATCTTAGCTATTATCTTGTATAGAAGATTTATACAAGAAATGGGCCTAAAATTCCTAAGAGAATCAACATTAGTAACCTTGGGCAAAAGAGACACTGCTGTGGAGTTAATACCACTAGGGAGCATACCTGAATCAAAGAAGAACATAATTCCTTTAGATACATCCTCTCCAATAATACCCCAGGTCTTTTTGAAGAAACCAGCAGAGAACCCATCTGGGCCAGGGGCCCTTTGAGAGTTCATACCAAACACTACAGTTCTTATTTCTTCTTCTGTGACCCTCTTGACCAGATCTGCACACTCTTCTTGAGGAATTTGGTGCTGAACCAGTTGTTGTATTTCCTCCTCGTTAGGCTTGATCTCTAAATTTGCCTCTCCCAAAAGCTTTCTATAAAAATCAATCACTTCTTCCACGATCTGGTCTGTTTGATATATCTCTTCCCCTGAGTCCTTCACCAGTTTCCTAATTGCTCTTTTGGAATTGCGAATTTTCACTGCTTGGTAGAAGAAATTAGAGCACTTATCCCATACAGTTAGCCATGAAACTCTAGATTTTTGCCAGCAAAAACTCTCAAAAGCCTTTGACATTTGATCAAATTTATCCTTAGCCTGTTTGACAGCTTCAAAATTCACTGCTGAGGGGGATGAAAAAGCCTCAGTGTTGGCTCTTTGTAAAGTGTCAGCAGCAGCCTTTACTTGGTCTTGAAGATTACCATACACCTCCTTGTTAAACTTCTTTAGGGCCATCTTAACTTCACGCATTTTCCTCTGAATGACTTGCCATGGATTCCCTGATACTTCTATCTTCCAAGCTTCCTCTACTATTTCCAAAAACTTAGGATGCTCCGCCCAAAATTCAAAATATTTGAACGGTTTAGGCATAGTCTTGGTCGGAGCTTCAGTGCTTAATGATCAGAAAAGTTTCCTGGGAGCACCTCTACTACACAGTTTTTGAACTTCTCAATCCAGTCAAGATTGACCATTGCTCTGTCCAATTTCCTAGCAATAGGATTATTGACCTGCCTGTTGGTCCAAGTAAACTGTGGACAAGTTGCTCTATGATCTATCAACTCCATGTCCCCAATCCAAGAGTTAAAGTCCATCATACTAGTAGTAATACTCCTTTGATTCGATGTCTCCACAGGGGCCTTTACCGTATTGAAATCCCCTCCTATAATCCACGGATGACCTGTCACCTTATATTTAGCAATCTCTTTATAAGTAGCTTGACGCTCAAATTCATCATTTGAAGCATACACAGCCGTCAGAAACACTCTATCCTTGTTAACATCCTCCACCAAGCAGTGCACAAAATTTTTCCCCGGCTTAATCACTTGAATCTTAATTTCTGGAACCCAAAATAACCAAAATCTGCCCATGTTTGAATCAACACATTCTATGCATCTCTCCCAACCAGCAAATACCTCTTCAACCGCCTCTTTAGCTTTCTCTGCTTTTATACGAGTTTCAAATACCGCTACCACATCAACTTTATTCCTACTAAGGACTTGCATCAAGTCCCTTTGCTTGGAGGTTTTATTAAACCCCCGTACATTCCAAAATAGGATAATCATTTAGAAGTTGGAGGTTTCCCCCCTCCTCCCTTCCACTGATCCCTCCTTACATCTTTTTTCTTTGGAGCATCCATAATTCGACCTGATTCCTTATCTCCCAGATGGCTTAGCACAATAAATGAAGAAGTTGATGCTTGAATAGCACCCTTAGCTTTATCATTTGACCAGACCCTAGGTTTTGCACCATTGAGAACCCTTTGGAATTCATCATCTGTTGGCAGCTTAGGCGAAGAAGACCCTGCTACAGCTGAGAATGACTTCTCCAAGTTCTGAGGAATAATCCTGCTAGCATCCACCAGTGAAGGACTAGTAAATATGGCTTGTAATTGGGGATCAACACTCTCCTGTACCTCTTTTCCTTTTCCACTTGTTGTTAGCGTTGCCACTGGGACATTCTGCACCTCCTCCTCAGCAGCTGCTTGAACCGGTGAAGAGAGAACCTCCTGTGTTTTCTGTGTCACAGGCACCCACTGTTTCCCATGATGAGCTACACATGCCCCCGATACCCCAAATAGCTTGCATACTAAACAAACAGGAGGTAGGTTGCAATAAGAGACTCCTATCCTAATGGATGAATCATCATCAGGCCACAGCAGGACATGATCCGGAAATTCACTCTCAGCAGTAAGCTCAACCAGTACTTTAGCAAATTCATGTCTGTTTCCTACCCTAGTAGTATGGTCAACCCCTAGTGGAACACCCTCCCAGCTAGCAATACGACTCAACCCCTGGAAATCATTGTATTCAAGTGGAACATTCGCCAGATGAACCCATATTGGAAGAGCCTTCCTGCCTAGATCCTCTACACTGATTCCAGGAACCCATGGACGAAGATATAGCAGATTGTTGAACCAAAACCAAGGACCATTCTCTAGTATCCACTCACAAACCTGTTGATTCGGCAACTGAATTAATAACATCTTGTCATAAAGCAGAGAAACCCTAACCAGCCCATCCCTACCCCATAGCTTGTTGACCCAGCGACGCAGGACATAGAGCGATGAAGGATCCTGAAGAAATTGCCCAACCAAGCAATTCTTCCAGCGTGCTGCTCCCGCTTCACGAACCGCCTTGGGCATTCTGAGACCCCCATTGACTACTTCCTGAGGGATATACGTAAGGCGATTCGCTTCAGATATACTGAACAGTGACGCCCAGGGTTTCGTCGGAATACCCCTAACATCACCATTCGATGTCTCTGTTGCGGGTGGAGAAACAACAGCACTCTCAACACTCATAAGAAAAGAATAAGAGAAGGAAATGGAAGCTGCTCCGGCGCAGGTGCCGGAGCTGGCCATTGGCAGAGATGATCGGAAACCCTTGTGCACCAGAATCGCTCACTCTCTCTCTACTCTCCTAAAAATCAAAATTTATCAAATTAAATTTTATAAATTTAAAAATTATTATATAAATTATATTTTTTTGTGAAGTTTTAAGAATATAGAATAATTTGATAAGTTTTGGTTAATCTATAAAATTTATCATTTTTCAAATTATCCAAAAAATAAATAATTAAATTTATTTTATGTTTTTATAATTTATTTTTGATTAATTTGATAATAAATAAGAAAAATTAGAAAAATAATTTAATTTTTTTAATGATTTTTAGGCTGACGAGGCAATGACATGGCGTGTTGACTAATGGTCAATGGTGTTGACCATCCAAATTGACGATCAAACTATGTGTCAGGCCAATTGAGTCTATATGTTACATAGTTGAGGCCAGAATGTTAATTTCTGAAACCACGGGCCAAAGTTGATTATATGATCATAGTTCAGGCCAAAATAAGGTATTAACCCATTTAAAAATTAAGAACCAAAGATTTGCAATAAATTTTATCATAAAAATATTCAGATAAATAAGAAAAGGAAGGAATGAAGAAAAAAAAATCCGACAGTAGGAGATGGCAGAAGCGAAAGCTTTTCAATAGGGAATGAAATTAGCAATCCAACATGCAATTTGACCTTTGATTCTAGAGACAGATTGTTTGAATTTGATAAGGAGATTGGAGGAGGAAGATGGATCGGAGCTGGAAATCAGGAGCTTTGTGAAGAGATAAAGGAATTAGGGGGGACAGAGGGAGAGGTGGAGTGGTGATTTTGGGGAAGAGAAGGAAATGAAGTTGCGCATTGAATGGCTTGGGTCAATGCAATTGGGAAGAGACGAAGGTGTGGTTTGACCTACCACTTGTCTTTTTAAATAATCAGTTATTAGTAGATTGTAATGATATATTACCAAGTTAGTTGAAGCCTTCAAATGGTTATAAAAATATTCAATTGCATATAAAAAATTATAGGGCAACGAAGGTTGTCAACCTGCAGCTCGATCTCTAGTGGAGCTAGAATTGATAAGGAAAATGGGTGCTACACACTCGTAGGTCAATACGGTACAAAGTTTCAGGGTTGGAATTCACACGACTTCGTATTCCCTTTGGTTTGAGAATTGTGCATTTTATCCGATTTCCCCCTTTGCCTAACGCTATCTTTGGATTTCTAAGTGGAACTTTTTGATATTGATGTTATATAAGTGTATTTGAATTTTCAATATACGTTCGATCCACGTACGAAATGTTATTTCGGTGTAATGTTATATGTTATTAGTTATATGGTGGATAAGATTTTATATAATTTATTAACGTATGAACAATATAATGATTTTTTATATCTCTGGGCAACAATTGAACCATTAATTCTTAATCCACTTTCTCGACTGGGGCCAACAGACTAACTAGGTTGACGATCTTTTTTTTATGAAGGTGAAAATTTTGTTACGAAGCAACCCATTAAAACACCAGTGGTATACATGGAGCCAAGAAGAGGAAGCAAAAGAGGAAAACAGCCATAATGCTAGAAATCCAAGTTCCCAACGGGGACACAAGAAGAAGAGCAACGAAAAAAGATACAGATTTGATCAAAATACAAACTCATAACCGTCACAAACAAACAGATAGCTAGGCGGTTACAGACTCAACACTTGCTGGATTCTTATTAAGTGCAAGTCCGACCCATAGCATGTGCTAGCAGACCCTCTAGCACAGGGCCTCAAGCTCTAAGAGGCCTCCAAATACTAGGTTATGTCATAGGCCCATTAAAATTTAAGACGACAGAAAATGTTGGTCTGTCAAGCAAAATTATTGGGCCTGTCTGTGACCTTGAGCCATTTTCTTTCTTCTAATTTTGAATTTTGGAGAGCAGAGGCGGCTTGGTCTTTTTTTAATGTGATTTTAGGTTTTTATTTTTATTTTATTTTATGAGGTGAATAATGCATTAAAATAAAAAAAGAGTGTCTAGTACAGAGAAGAGGCCGCACAAGAGGTGCAGCTCACAAAAAATCCGAAAGGCAAAACAAAGACAGAAAATGGCCGGAAAAACCAAAACAAGAAAACAAAAAAGGACTAGGCCGTCCTGGCGGCCCCTATCCTGAACGGACAAGCAGGCCCCGAACCAAAAGCCCAAGAGAAGATCCAAACAATACCCGCAAAAAACCTCACCTCGGCCAAAAAACAACCCTACAACTGCCACAACCCAGAATAGTGGAAGGCCTAAGAGCTTCTGCGACGAAAAGCGAGCATCCACTCCTGACCCTGCTCCCTGATGGTTTTGCCATGAGCAACCAGACCTTCCACAATTAAGGCGAAGGACTTCTGAAGAACATCAACAACACCTAAACATGTTCCCTGAAAACACGGTTGTTTCTTTCAAGCCACACCTGCCAGCAGATCACATGAAGCACACCATAACCAATCCAATTAGTAAGATTATCAGGGGAGTCGCAGCTCCATCTTCTGATGGTGGTTAAAATATCGCCGACAGGTGGAGTAATGTTGCTGCACACGCTGCCAACCACATTCCAAACTTGCTTGACGAAATCACAATCAATAAACCGGTGGTTAATGTTTTCCTCCGCTCTATGACACATAAAACATCGGTTGGCCAGATTCCATCCTCTCCTTTGCAGAATGTCCAAGGTGAGGATTTCTTATGCGCGACCAGCCACATGAAAGCCCGGAGGTGTGGGATTAAGCTCCGCCAAATAGACTCGTCCGGAAAGCCATTCACGCCTGGGAATCTGCTACTTGTCAACTGCCTGTACATACGACAAACAGAAAACACACAATCTGGATTTGGAGACTAGACCAGTATACTAGGTTCGTAAGGGACCAGGTTAACATCCACAGAATTAATAAGGTTGACAAAATCAGCTCTCTCCCTCTCAGCCCCCCCCCTCCCCCTCTAAAATTCGTATTAAGGACAATGGTCCATTCAGTTTGTGTACCTGTATTGTTGGCGAGGTCCGACACCCAGGCATCAGGCACGGCAGCGACAACAGCAACTCTCAGAAACGCTTCATCCAAAACCTTATTTGAGATCCAACAATCCTTCTAGAAAGACACCCATTCTCCACTGCCCGGATCAATGTGGCAAACTTTCCAGAATGACTCATACTCTTTCGATATTGGCCCAAACTGATTCCCCATATCCACTTTGAGATTATCTCTCTCCACCAGCTTCCTCTATCAATAGCGGATTTCCACAATCATTTGGCTAAGAGAGCCTTGTTAAAGCATGTTAAGTCTTTGATACCTAGCCCACCGTTCTCCTTGAGAGCCTTGCAAAGCTCCCAATTAACAAGCGGGATCTTGCATTCCTCACTAACCCCACCCCAAACGAAACTTCTCTGAATTAACCCATTTTCTAGAAAACACCTCTAGGGGCACAAAACAACGAAAAGTAGTAAACCGGCTGACTTGTCAAGACAATGTTGTTCAGCACCAAACGACCCCCAAGCGAGAGAAGGTGTCCTTTCCATCCTGCAATGCGTCTTTCGAACTTATCAATAATAGGATCCCAGATTGAAGTAGAGTTCACTTTCACCCCAACTCACACAATCAAACACCCGCTCAATATCAAGTTTAAACATTAACCCAGGTCTTCGACTTTTCTTTCTACTGTCCAAGAGTTCGAAAGCGATCAGACCAACCTCCGAGATCTTTCTACCACGAACCGAATCCTGCTGGGAGGGGGAGACAAGGTTGGGAAGCACCAAGCTAAGCCTACGAGCCAAAATCTTGCTTATAAATTTATTCAGAATCCCCATCAAACTAATTGGCCTCAAATCATTGATATCTTCTACGACATCACGCTTAGGAACAAGGCACAAGAAAGAGTGGGTGATGCACTTAGGTAGAGCACCCGAATTGTAGAACTCTGACAAAGCATTCAGGATCTCCACACGAATAACGGGCCAACACTTCTTGTAAAAATCCCACGAGAAACCGTCTGGGCCTGGGGCTTTCCACCCATCACTATCCCTAAGGCTCGCCCATATTTCAGCTTCGGAAAAGTTCCGTGTAAGTAAAAGAGCTTCTGCATCATCCAGCCTAGCCACCTTTAAGTCCCTTGGAAAAGGTCATCTAGCAACAGACTCTTTAAAAAAGGAGGTGCAGAACTCAACCACCCCTTTCGCCAAGTCTTCTCTACCTTCAAACCTTTCCCCTTGGATATTGATGCATTCAATCAAATTAAACTTCTTCTTGTAGTTTGCCATCACATGGAAGTACCTAGTATTATCGTCCCTAAACTTCAGCCAGTGTTCCTTCGCTTTCTGTCTCCACGAGATTTCTTGGAGAAAAAGCAATCTGCTTAACTCCATCTTATACCCATACCTATCGATCACCTCATTATTGCTCAAGGTCCTCGATTCCTCGGCAAAATCCAGGTCTTTAATCTTGGACAAAGCCAACTCAATCTGCGTATTAACATTACCAAAGACATCTCTGTTCCATACCTTAATGTGCCCCTTCAGATTCTACGATCTCTTACTCCACCGGAAAGCTGCCCCAAACCCCTCAATATCGTTCCCCATCCACAGATGAAGCTCCCTAAAGAATCTCTTGTCCTGTAACCACATGTTCTCAAACTTCCAAGGTCTTCTAATCCTTCTCGGATCTCTCCACCTAATAAGGACTGGGTTATGATCTGATTCAACCTGCTCAAGGGCCATAAGGCTGCAATTCGAAAATAACTGATCAAACCCCTGGGTGATAAATGCTCTATCAATGCGAGAGAGGGAAATAGAGCCATCTCCTCTACACCAAGTAAACAGGCTTCCACTAAGAGGAAGCTCCATAAGGGCATTACTCTCAATGCATTCGTTAAACTCCTCCATCAAATTAGCATTCCGCCGAACCCCTCTGTAATCCTCATGGGTGCGAACAAGGTTGAAATCGCCAACAATACACACCGGAGTATTAGTGGAAAGACACAGATCATGAATCTCCCTAATAAACTTAAGTTTATCTTCCCTTTCTTGAGGACCATAAACCACAGCAAGAGACCAGAGTTTCTGCAAGCAAACTTCCTGAAGATCAACAAGAAGGTAAAAATCTCCAGCTCTTGTGGAACTGGCCTGAAAACAGTTTTGATCCCAATAAATTTCGATTCCCCCCGCACTATTATCTGCGTTCTTAGCAGCCCAACCCCTGTCCTTGCTTCCACTAACCTCTGAAATGAGCTCATCGCTACACTGATTCCACTTGGTTTCAACAAGGCCCACAATGTTTGCCTTTCTTCTTGCGAAAAGTCTTTTAACCCTTCCCATTTTATTATAATCACCAAGACCTCTAACATTCCACACAATGATCGACAAATTCATTATACCTTATAAGAATCATCTTACTCGTCCCTCCTCTTGATCCTTCGAGATCCAGTCACTGGCGTTTCCGCAATCCCCAATCGTCGCTGCTCCATTTCCAGTCTTCGCCTTTGTGGGCGCACCTTCCTTTGATGCACAAGCCTGGCCTTACTCTCAATAATCATTTCTCCTTGAGTTTGGCCGTCTTCATGATTCAAGTTGATTAATTTTTCCACTTTCACGACTTCTGTTAACTAGAGTCTCCACATCAAACGGGAAAGCATCCAACCGCCATTCCATGTCTTGGCTATCCGGCACACAAGAAGGAGATGGGAGATCTGATCTGATTGCAATTCGGAAGTTGGGCTAGAGGTTGCTGAAGCAAAGAAGGATGGGATGGGATTCGATTAAGGTGGGGAAGAGATTGAGGGCAATAAAGATGGGGAACAAGGTTGGAATTGGGGAAACGACGGCAAAGAGAGATATCGGAGTTGACAGGGGAGGATTATGGAAAATTTGGTTGGGGGAAGAGGTTAAATTGATGGTGGTGGTTGGCAGGGGATGGCTTAGGTCTTGGATTGGGGCAAGGAAAGGGTTAAGATTAGAAATGGAGGATGACATGGTCAAGACAAGGTAGGAAGATGAATTCGAGTAGAGGATAAGCAATGAAAGAGAAGATGTCTCTTGGTTCAGATTGACCAGGGACAGGCAAGAAATGGGTTGTCTTTTGGGAACCGGGTTTGGGATTAGGTTAGAGAAGAAGTGAAGGATGCTAGAAGGGCTGAAGGGTAAAAAGTTGGTTTTGGCATTGAAAGGAGAAACAGGCCCTGACCCAGATCCACCAAGGAGGCCAGAAGGGCCCGCGCAAGGAAGCAAGACCAACCTCGACGGAACGTTTGGCTTCATCCAAATGGGTCAGAATTTCCTGACCCAAACTCTCTTGACCCGGCCTTTATGTGTAAGCCCAGTGGGGTTCTTTCGCCACTCCCTGATGAACCCGGATGCAGCCACGCCAGCAGCTATCCCCATGCAGCGATTCGGCTTTCGAGGAATGACTCTCCGTCGTTTTTCCCAACTTCCCACGCAGAGGCGGCGGTACCACGGTGGAGACTCTTGAGGTCGGCACTGATAGACCGAGTCTTCAGCAAGTAGTTCCATTCTGTTTTTCTGTTCCTTGTATTCCTCCAACAACTCCCCACGTTCATATCAGCTCACCTGTATAAATCCCACTTCTGTTAATAGAAACAATCAGTCAATTCCCAAAACCTACATGGTATCAGAGCCAAGAAGCCTCACGACAATCTGACTCATCTCAATCTTCTTGTTCCCCGCCACCCCCCTGTATCTCCCTTTCTCTTTTCTGCCATGGTGAACCCCACTCCTGACTCCTCTGCTACATCTGGTTCTCTGTCCATCCCCGACAATTCCCTCTCCCAATTCACTCCTCCTCCCCCTCCTCACATCTCTGTCAAACTCACCTCTACAAATTATCTTCTTTGGAAGATGCAGCTGCTGCCACTCCTTGCCAGCTACGATCTTGCCAAGTTTGTTGACGGCGCCTTTCCCGCTCCCAATCCTGCTGTCGCTGGCCAATCTGCATACGACGCTTGGTACCGCCTCGATCAACTCGTCTTCTCCTGGCTTGTTATGTCGCTGACCGACTCTGTTCTCTCTCGTCTCGTTGGTTGTGTCACCGCCCTCGACGCCTGGACTCGTCTGGCTTCCTCCTATGGCTCCGCCAATTGGCAGACTCTCCAGCAACTCCGCACCAAACTTCACGAGTTGAAGAGGGGCTCTGATTCCTGTGAACAATATCTTGATCGTGCCAAAGATGTTTCTGATCGCCTGGCCGCTCTCAATCATCCAATTCCCGACGATGAGCTCGTTGATCGCTGCCTTCGAGGACTCGGGGAGTCCTTCCTACCATTTGTTCGCACTCTTGAGGCTAAGTTGGGGCCGATCTCGTTCAATGATTTCCACGGTCTGGTTCTGAATGAGGAGCATCGTCTTCGTCAGCTTCATCTCTTGCACGATGATGGCGTTCCCCAGGCTCACTACGGTCGCTACGGTGGCCAGAGCTATCGTGGGCGCGATGGCGGACGGTCAGCCGGGCGAGGCAGAGGCGGCCGCGGTGACTCGTCTTTTTCCTCTAATGTTTTTCGTGGTGCAAGTTTCGGCGCATGGCTTCTCGGGCCGCGGCCCAACCCTCAGGCTCCCACTCTTCCACCAGGTCAAGGCCCACTTCGCTGTTACACATGCCAAGGCTTTGGCCATCTCGCCAAAAACTGTCCAACCCCCACTCCTTCGGCCCATTATCCTCCCTTGGCCAACCATGCCTCGTCCCCTCATCCTCAAGATTGGTTAATGGATTCCGACACTAATTATCACCTCACCTCTGATCTAAATAATCTTGCCCTTCACTCTGAATATCAAGGCCCCGATGAAGTCTCCTTTGGTAACGGTAATACTCTTCCCATTTCTCATTCTGGCTCCTCTATTGTCTCTCTTAGCCATCATCCCTTGCGTCTTAATCGTATTCTTCATGTTCCCTCCGCTACTCATAATCTTCTTTCTATCAATGCTCTCACTCGATCTAATCCTTTATCCATTCATTTTGTTGATGATTTTTTCATAATCAAGGACACACGGTCTCAGAAAATCCTCCATCAAAGTCGGAGTAAGGACGGTCTCTACTCTCTACCCCTATCACTCCTCTCAGCGCCTGCTCCTCGTGTGTTCCACACCACCCTCTCTCACTGGCATCAACGGCTTGGTCATCCTCACTCTCGCGTTCTTCGTCAAATTATCCATGATCATTCTCTTCCTGTTTCCAATAAAAATAATGATAGTCTATGTCATGGTTGTAGTGTAGCCAAAATTCACAAACTTCCTTTCTCGCCTTCAACCTTTCAAGCTCAAGGTCCTTTGGATTTGATTTGTAGTGATGTATGGGGTCCTTCTCCCGAACTTTCCTTTGATGGTCATCTTTATTACATTTTATTCTATGATCATTTTAGTAAATTCACATGGATCTTTCCCACTCGTTATCGCTCTAATCTTCTCTCCATTTTCATTCAATTTCGTACTCAAGTCGAAATTTTTTTTGGCCGACCCATCAAATTTTTTCAAGCTGACTGGGGCGGCGAATATAAAAAATTAGGCTCCTACCTCAAAGACCATGGCATCGTTCATCGCACGTCCTGTCCTTACACCCCCGAGCAAAACGGCTGTGCCGAACGCAAGCACCGCCATGTCGTTGAAACCGGTCTTGCTCTTCTTCATCATGCCTCTGTTCCGCTCAAGTTTTGGTCGTTTGCCTTTGAAACTGCGGTTTATCTCATTAACCGCATGCCCACTCCACTACTACACTCTCGCACTCCCCTCCAAGTTCTTCACTCTCACTCTCCTGACTACTCGACTCTTCGCATATTCGATTGTCTTTGCTATCCATGGCTTCGTCCTCGCACCCGTCATAAGCTCGAACCGCGATCTACACCATGTGTTTTCCTTGGCTACAGTCCTTCTCACAAGGGCTATCGTTGCTACAATCTATCTACCCACAAAATACATATTTCTCGCCACGTCCTGTTCGACGAGAATTGTTTTCCGTTCGCCACTTCCCCAAATCAGCCTTGCACATCATCCTCTCCCTCCGTACCATCGACTTCATCTGGGCCCTATCCACTACCCTTTCCCCCTTGTCTCTTTCCTCCTATCCAAGCTCAAACCACCCCCTGCCCCCACCTCTATCCCCGATCCATCACCTGCCTCCCTCAACCCTCCCCCTAGGCCCACTCCCAATCCCAGGCCCACTTCCACTACCCCTCCCACAACTCGCCGCCCCATCCCAGCTCCCGCAACCCGCCGCCTTCCTGCCTCCATTCACCCCACACGTCTCCAAACCCCGTCTCCTACTCCTCGTCCATCTCCAACCCGCCCTCCTCCACCACCCAAACGAGCCCCTGCTCCTTCCTCTTCCCGCACTCACCCTCCCTCATCCCATCATATGATCACTCGTTGCAAGACGGGAAACCTCAAGCCCAAAACGTTTCTTTCCTCCTCCCCAATTAGCCTTCCCCCAATTCCCACCACTGCCCGTCAAGCCTTCCGAGACCCAAAATGGCGAGCTGCCATGGTGGAAGAGTACAACGCCCTGCTCCGCAACGGAACCTGGAACCTCGTGTCTCCCTCCTCTGCTCGAAATATTCTTTCTTGTAAATGGATTTTCCGGATCAAGACGAAGTCCGACGGCACGATCGAGCGCTACAAAGCCCGACTCGTTGCCCGTGGGTTTCAACAGCGTCCGGGTCTGGACTACGGCGACACCTACAGCCCGGTGCTCAAGCCAACGACACTTTGGCTCATCCTCTCCATTGATTTGGCTTAGACATTGCAAATGCCTTCCTACACGGCAATCTCACCGAGGATGTCTACATGAATCAACCCCCTGGTTTCATCGATCCGGACCGCCCGTCTCATGTGTGTCATCTTCGCAAGTTACTGTATGGCCTGAAACAGGCGCCCCGCGCCTGGTTCCATTGTCTTCGTCAAGCACTCGAGGCCTATGGTTTTCGAGGGTCCCAGACGGACACTTCCCTCTTCATCTTCAGCAAAGGCTCTCTTCGTCTATATGCGTTGATCTATGTTGATGATATTTTGCTAACAGGCAATCAAGCCGATGCTTTGCACTCTCTTATTGTCTACTTGCAGCAGCGCTTTGCAGTTCGTGATTTGGGAAAATTGTCATATTTCCTTGGCACCCAAGCACTCTGGTCTCCCACTGGCCTTCTGCTCTCCCAGCAAAAATATATTCAGGCCATCCTTGACCGGGCAAAGATGGAAACTGCCAACCCCATCTCCACCCGCGCTGGCACCAGTACCCCTCATCCTGACTCCACAACATTTTCAGACCCGACACTCTACCGGCAAATCGTTGGGGCTCTTCAGTACCTGCAGTTTACTCATCCCGATATATCACAAGCAGTCAATTACTGTGCTCAACATATGCACGGTCCTCTTCATCAACATTGGGCGGATGTTAAACGCATCCTTCGCTACCTTCGTGGCTCAATTCAACATGGTCTTTTCTTCACCAACAAGTCTCCTCCGATCCTCTCCGGGTACTCTGATGCCGCATGGGCCAACTCTGTCCTTGATCGTCGCTCTACGACAGGTTATGCTGTGTATCTTGGTGCCAATCTCATCTCTTGGACATCTCGCAAACAACGAACCGTAGCACGCTCTTCCACCGAGGCTGAATACAAGGCTCTCGCCACCCTTGCCGCCGAGATCATCTGGATTCAATCTCTCCTCACTGAGATCGGGTTTCCTTTGTCCAGTCCTGCGACACTATGGTGTGACAACCTCGGCGCCACGTACCTCACCGCCAATCCGGTGTTCCACGCGCGGAGCAAACACATGGAAATTGACTTCCACTTCGTTCGCGAGAAGGTCGCAACACGTCAACTACTAGTCCGCTACATATCTACCAATGACCAGATTGCTGATCTCCTCACAAAGCCTCTTCCTCGCCAGCGATTTCAGTACTTTCGATCCAAGTTGAAGGTCACTGACCATCAACTTGCGGGAGCGTGATAGATCGAGTCTTCAGCAAGTAGTTCCATTATGTTTTTCTGTTCCTTGTATTCCTCCAACAACTCCCCACGTTCATATCAGCTCACCTGTATAAATCCCACTTCTGTTAATAGAAACAATCAGTCAATTCCCAAAACCTACAGGCACGACGATCAGCTTGTACAAAGTTCCGGTGAATATAATTGGAATACTTTCCGGCAAACCATTCCCAACCCTAATCCGAATTCTGATAAAGTCGGCCGACCAATGGTTCCATTCGACTTCAACCAGATTCTGCAGAATTCCCCAATCTCTTTGATTAGATCAATGCTCTTCAAGTGCAACAGAATACCGATAACCAGAACCCACATAGTATTCGCGAGAGCACCCCTGTTATCTTCTTTCCAGTGTGAAATGTTGATCGATAGGTTCTGAAACATGCTTTGATCAAAGTTCTTGATTCGCATTGCTTGGTGCCAGCTGGGGCATATAAGCATCCATTCCCCCAAGCCACTGCTGACCCATTCAAAGTTTGAATCGATC